TATACCAAATGTATTATTTCTTTTTATCTTAGAAGCATCTCTATCTGATAGCTATTATATGCTTATTTGATTTTATTTTCAAATATTTATTCATTTGTTTTGAGATAGAGAGAAAGTGTGAGCAAGGGACGGGCAGGCGTGAGGAGGCGGGGGGGGGGGGCGCGGATCCCAAATGGGCTCCATGCTCTGTGCAGAGGCCCATGCAGGGGTTGATCTCAAGACACTGAGATCGTGACCTAAGCCGAAATCAAGAGTTGTATGCTTAACCAACTGAGCCACCCAGGTGCCCCTATGCTCAGTTGAAAATGAGAGGTGTTTAAGATTACATAGCTAGTAAGTGGTGCAGCTTTGATGGAAACTGAAGTTGGTTTGGAAACTCTGTTCTGGATTCTAGTTCACTACAGCGAGATGTTAGGTTTTGACATATATAATATTTTGACCACTTTATGTTACAATAAAATAACACTGACACAGAAATTCCAGCGAGAAAAAGTACTGCTCAAGATTGTAGTCACATACCCTGAACGTTATTCGACAGCACACAAAGAGTAACACTTTTGAACTTCTAAACAAGCCTGGCTATGAATTTTTCCATTTTGCATTTTAAAAGGCTTGTATGTTCTTTGGGGTAAATATGATCAATCATCATGTTTGTTCCTCAGAATTAAGTAGTCCTTTATTCCCATAAAATTCATTATATGTTTAAGAGATACTATAGATTATAGGTGTAACTACAGTTATTAACCTCCTCATTTTCCAGATTTTGAACGCTATGAGTAATTTATTACTTGATTTTTATTATATGAATTCCAAATTAGTGAATCAAGTTTTATAATACAGTCTCTTTATGGATGTTGTTCCCCGAGTATAGGAATTTGGTATGTATTTAAAGGGCTGTTATTGTTATTATTATTGCTGCTGAAGACCAATCCAACATTCATTTGTGACCAACTATTTTATGCTACAGCAGAGCGAACACCACTGAATAAAAACAAATGATATAGTTCCTGGCCTCAATAAAGTAATGGCCTGATTCTAGTACATTGTGTAGACCAACAGTTATGGAAGGGGATTCTTTTGAATCTTAACAATTGATAATGATCAGCTAAACTCCTGATAATAGAGCTGCTGAAAATTCTAATCTTCTGATTTTATTACAATGTGAGGTAGAAGCAGGTTCCAGGACGCTTTGTGAAATGAGATTTAGAGGAAACACCACGTTGTACTTATTACTCTTGATATTCAATGCCTACCGTCTAGCATCTCTTGATTTTAACTTATAAATTTTGTTGTTTTCTGCCTATGGTCTAATATACTAAGATTCCACCTTATAATCTTTTTTCTAACTGCCTGTAGTTTCGTTTTCATGATTCTACTTTGTGATACACAGGGCTGACTGTTTACAGTGTAGTAATTCTAAGTCTTCAATCCCAATTATTCTCTGTTATTATTCATACTTTCATCTCTACTTATCGGCTAACCAACAACCCAATCACAATATAGGCAAACTACATGTTAAGAGCTAACAGTGTTACCTGGTTTTCAATCATGATTGCATCTCTGGTTCCTGGGAAATCCTCCACTATGTATAACTGCCTTCTCTCAATGCAAATGGGAAAATCCAACCCCATTAAAAAAATGAGAGAGAGATTTATTTTCATTGCAAAGCAAGGCTTATTTATCACTCAAAATAAGTTGATGGTAAAGAGTTCAAATTACAATGCCAAAACTTTAGAGATGACTTCATTTAGATGCATGGTTTGTACTGATTTGTGATTTACATTGAGTATAGTATTATCATTATCATACTGTATATGATTATTGTAATATAAACACATTATTTATTTAAAAATCAGTTTATTAACTTATCAATGTGTACCATAAATTCAAATGTCTCAATAAGATTAATAGCATGGCATAGTAGAAAGAGCAAAGAATTTGGAGTTTCTTTTCATTATAAAATGAATTGATAATAACTTTACAAATTTACAATAGGGAGGAAATGAAAAAATTGATATGAAATTCTTTTGTAAACTGCAACAAAATTTTTAATGTAAGTAAGTATCTGGGAATTGATTAATTCTTGTTGGGATCATTCTTAAGAGAAGAGAAATACTGTGATTATATATAAAAATTATACAGAAGTTATGCTTTTAGATTTGTTGCAAAAATATTACAGCTTCTTGATTCCCTAAGACGTCTAAACAGTGTTTGTGAAACTACCCCAGGGCTGAGATAATTGGTTTCACTTTGCTATTCCTCAGTTTCTACATTTACATTAGCTGTACTACCAGAGAGACATGCTTGTTTATTTTTTTCTAAGTAGGTCGATAATAATATTTAGAGAATATAATGAACAGAATATATCTGGTACCATGAGCATTAATTTCTCATTTTGACCATGATCTTAAATGCAATGCAAACAATGATGGGCATTTAAGAATATGAGCGGATCACAGATGACAGGAACGCTGGAACAGCTAATACATTGGACCAATACGTGGGGGAGAAAGCTGTTCTTGCGAGTGAAGTGCTAGAAAAGAGTTTGCAGTCATTCCATTTCGATGTAATAGCTGCCCAACAGAAACACACAGTGGAACTTGCTCAGCTAGAACAGCAGATAACACAGCTTGAAAGCGACTTTGCAGCTGCCAGGAAACTTTGTAGTTAGAAAGATCAGCTGCACCCTTGAGATTGTGAGAAACAGGGAAATAGATATCTGTTCAACAATCACATTGCTATTGATAAGGAGAGGGAACTGGAAACACACCACTTCATGCATTTTTTCCTGAATTATCGAGAAATATATATTTTAGCTTAAATTTTGTGATTCCATCTTTTTCTTGTTGTCTCTAAATCCAGTGTGTACCTTAAGTATTGGTGATAGAAATGCCATCAAGTTTCATTTGGATAGAGGTTAAAATATATAAAACTGTAGTATTTATGAATTTATGCCGGTAGATGGTTAGAAGATAAATCTGCCCAAACTTTAAGTGCAAATCCTTCCACATTCACTTTGTATTTCAGAGGCAAAGCAAAGGACACATATTTCCTAGTGAAGAAAATGACACATGTCTGACAGGTGAAATTAAAACCATCTATCCAATTCAATTCACTAAGCGCTTATTATATAGAGAGGTATATATGTTGGCAACACACAGATGGATAAATGAGGCAAATTCCTTATCTTCCTGGAGCTCATATCCTGATGGTAGTTCATGATACGCAGGCTCCTACTGTGTGGTTCACTGAAAAGTATAGTCCTTTTACAAAATATGTAATTTGTATTATTCATTAAGTTAAAAAAATTAACATGAAAGCCAATCACTTGAAATCAAATCAATAAGTATGTATTCTCTACATCCCAGAATTTTCCAGTTCCAAATTATTTCAACATACATTCATAAAGCATGAGTAGTGAATTCTACTATCTTAGACTTTTTAAACTCATGTTAGTTTATAAAATTGTGCTTTCTTTTTGAATGCAGATTATTGGTAGAATGTGCTCAGAATTGAAGAATAAAAGAATTGGCCATTGAGAGTTTTAAGACCTTTAA